ATTCTGCACCTGCGATAGCACAGCTCCTAAGCCTGTATTGCTTGCATCCGTATCCAGTATGAATTGGTCCTCTGATGTCGGGTAAGCTAATATCGGCGCCGAGGTCAGCGATCGCTTGAGCTGCCCGAACGCTCTTTCCTCGTCCTCTCCCCACCTAAATTTAACTCCCTTTTTCGTCAACTCTGATAGAGGCGCTGCTATCGTAGAAAATCCAGTTATGAATCGCCTGTAATACGACGCGAGTCCTAGAAAACTCCGAATCTCCCTCACGGATCGTGGTGTCGGCCAAGTTGCTACGGCTTCTATTTTGGCTGGGTCACATTCTAATCCTCCTCCCGTCACTATGTGTCCTAGATATTTAACTGTCGTCCGAAATACATGGCATTTTGCTGGCTTTAATTTTAGATTTGCTGCTCTCAGCCGGTTGAAGACTGTTTCTAGATTCTCGAGCGTCTCCTCGAACGTTTTTCCAAAGATGATAATGTCATCCAGGTAAACTAAGCATTTCCGGCCTAGCAAACCTCGAAGGACCACTCCCATTAGTCGCTGAAAGGTCGCCGGGGCGTCGGACAAACCGAACGGCATCACTCGGAAACGCCACAAAGCGTCCTTCGTGGAGAATCCTGTGACATCCTTCGACTTCTCGTCCATTTCTACCTGCCAGTAGCCTGCCGCTAAATCTAATGTGGCGAACCAGTATGCTCCTCCCAGCGCGTCAAGTAAGTCGTCCATCCTTGGTAGGGGAAACACGTTCTTTCGAACTACGCGGTTAACCCTTCGGTAGTCGATACAAAATCGGACGCTTCCATCCTTCTTGGCCACTAACACGACCGGTGAAGCCCAAGCTCCGCTTCCTGGTTCGATGACTATATATACGGTCATTCTCTCTATACGGTGAGTTCAGTCTATCCATCCTGATCTAGTCTACTACTCCTATAAGTTATACACCCCCGAAATCTCCACAACTCCCCCCAACTCCTTTTAGTATCCGCCCTCGGATACGCCTTTGTCTTCCCCAACGTGTACGCGAAATGAAACTTCTGTCTGATATAAATATCTCTACTATATTAAATCTTACAAAGGATATACATATGTCCTGTAAATATGTCCTGTAATAAAAATCCCTAAATGATGAGTCGATAACGTCCTGTCCACCTAAACAAAACAAAACAAATATAATGATGGCCCCTTCTTTACAAATCCATCCTCTGTGGTGGTTTACGGGCTCTCGTCCCCCGCCTTAGACCAAGACCTGCTTCATAGGTCTGTTCTGTTACTTCCTCATCCTCTAATGCCGGTTCCTGAAATAATATCTCCCACGAAATTTCCTCCCCCTCATCATCGCCTTCCTCGCCGTGGTCTGTGGGCTCCCTCTGCTCTTCTCTCGGAGGTTCTCGCCAATCTTCCAGTGGTTGCTCCGTTTTATAGGGCTTTAAGTAGTCGATGTGCACCACTTTTCTTCTTGCCCGTGGCTCCCGCTGTATGACATAGAGTAGGTCACTCACCTTCCGGATGATTAAGTACGGCCCCTGCCAGCCATGTCCTAACTTTCTCCGAACGGCTGGCGGGTACCAATACCATGCGAACTCTCCCTCCCGGAAGGTAATCGGCCTAACACCTCTATCGTACGCCCGTTTCTGTCGTTTCGCCGCTTGTTTCAATGTTGTCCTCGCAAAGTCGTAGGCTTCCCCCATGACGTCCTGAATCCATTGCACGTACTCATGCGGACACTTCCCCCTGGCACCTGGCGGTGGTCCTACCATGACGTCCACTGGCATGTGTATCTCCCTCCCGAACATCATTAAATTTGGTGAACATCCGGTAGATGCTTGTGCGGTTGCTCGGTAAGCCATCGCGACGAACGGTAGATGATTATCCCAGTCGTCCCTGTTTTGATTGACAAATAAAGATAGCATTTGTTGAAGCGTTCTATTGTATCGTTCTACTAATCCATCGGACCTAGGATGATAAGGTGTCGTTCTTGTTTTATCTATTTGCAGGATCTCACAGACTCCCTGAAACAAACGAGATTCAAAATCCGGTCCCTGATCGGTGTGAATTTTGTACGGAACCCCGTATCGGCAGATGTATTCTGTCACCAAGACGTCTGCTACCGTATACGCCTCCTGATTCGGTAGAGCAAAGCACTCCGTCCACTTTGTAAAATAGTCGCATACCACCATGATCACTTTATTCCCTCTCTCTGTTACTTCTAGCGGACCCATGATGTCGATGGCGATCCGTTCGAATGGAGCGCCTACTTCCGACTGTTTTAACCTTCCCCTTTTCAACCCTTTTCCAGGCTTNTTCTGCATCCTTTCCCCCGACCTTTGACCTCTTCTTCCATCTCTAGCTGTATGCTGCTGCCCTTGACCTTCAGCGTCCTTCATGATCCTAACCATTTCTTGTCTCAGGCTTCTCATCCCTTCTCGCATCTCTTCCCGTAGGCTTGACACTGGATCCTCTCCCGTTTGCATTGCAGCTCGTATATACGTGCCTCCACCTGGTGGCGGTTTTCTACGATTTACGGTCTCCCTTGTAACTGCCTCAAACTGTGCCACCCGAGTTACTGCCTCGTCTAGCGTGCCTGGTCCCTGCAGGAGTGCGTAGCGCTGTGTTTCGACATCTCCTATCCCGTCCAGGTACCTGTCTATTAAGATCTGCTCTGTTTGATGACCTATCATGGCAGGATACGCCTGCGAAAACAGCTGCCGCATGACCGCGCCAAATTGCTCCGGCGTCTCGCCAAGCCTCCTGCTCCTACGGCGTAGCTCACTCCGATAAACGTGGATGCGCTCTACCGGATCGAACCTGCGTTGCAGACAGGCAACCATCCTGTCGTAGTCAGCACGCTGCGATCGTGGCATCTCTATCGCTACCTCCAGAGCCTCACCTTCTAAGCATAATCCTAATTGAATTCCCCATCCATCCTCCGGCCACTGATTGTAACTAGCCGTCATCTCGAACTTTATCAGGAAGTGCTTCAAGGCGATGCCATCTCCCCGGCTAAAGTTCGGAGGCTTCCGTTCCTTCACAGGTGTACGGCTCCACGGACTTCTCTCACGTGCTAGCGGCAGGTTCCGCATCGACTCCCTCCTTGTATACGGCATATCCCTAACCGTAGCCGTATCTCCTGCAGGTGCCTGTGAAATTTCTGCTTCCCTGTCAAGTGCCAAGTCCGAATTCATACTACCGTTCTCTCTCTCTTTCAGAATGCTGCCGTGCCGTTCGCTCGTACCTCCCCAGTTTCCCTGTACGCTTTCCTGGCTTACTCCAGCGTGGGGGAGGGGTGTGTGGTCTCCCGGTCCCCTCTCCTGCCATTCGCTCCACCTCTTCTGTAGTCTCTTCTCTGCTCCTATTATCTTCTCCCTATAATCCTTTGCCGCCTCCTGAGATATCCTTCTATCTCTAGAAGCCTCCTCCGGTGTGAATATGCCATCGCGAATGGTCGCCGGTACCTGTCCCCGTCTGAAATTAATGGACTCGTCCACCCCTTCCTGTTCCTCGCTCAGCTGTGGTGGTGATGAGTCATTCGCTTCCGCGGCCGGCTGCACGCCCTCGCTGCCTTGCACATCTCTCCCTAGCTTTGCCGTGGGCGTCAGAAACTCCCGTATCCTTTCTATAAAACTCGACATGTTTTGTATCTCCGCTCGCTATCCGTCTATCACTGGTACACCTGCGGTTGCTACTCCTTCATGCGAACGATCCCGGACGAGCCCCCATTTTACCTGTAGTGCCGCTAGGGTAGACGACTACGGTTCGACAGACGTTAGGTAGTAACGCGTGTCCAGTAGTGGGATTCAGAGTCCGCTCCTGTCGATGTATTAAGGCCAGGACGGCGATGAGCACGTAGCAGATAACAGGTCGTACCAGAGGAACAGAACACGGTGAAATGCGGTTAATGATACGGCTATATAGCTTTTATTTCGTGTTACGAAGGTACAAATGATTCCCCCTGCATTCGTATATGCAGCGGACCTGCTAATAGTTTTATTGATCTCGTCGAATATCTACACGTCGCCAGCTCCGTCTTCTTCCCTCACGTTCGTCCTCGCCTTGCGTGGATCCACACAGTCTCGCAGGTGTCTCCCTCCCCGTCGCTCCCAGCTCTACCAGAATGCCGTTCTTCGCCCGTTTTTATTTCCCTTTCCCGTTTGGCTCTGGCTTACACCTACCTGAAAACCTGTGCGTTTTTTCGCTCTCTCTGGTCCTTCCTCTCGCCTTCC